ATTTATAATGCGTGCTTCAGCAGCCAAAAGATTGGATTACCGTCTAAACTGTTAGTTTATTCCGGAAATCTATTACGCTTTGGGTAAAAATATGCTACTTGGTGGGATTGGGTTCTGCAAAGGGTTAGTAACTGGCCTTTCACCTCCATTATGGATTCATTATCCAGCCTAAACTGATGGGATATAAGTCTCCTCTGTCTGTTGGTGCAGTGAGTTTGGACAGTTCCTAGTGAGGACAAAGCTGCCTTTAACTCAATTCTATATTGACAATCTCACTCAGAGGAGGTTAACTTAAGCTGATCGCTAAAAATAGCGATGTTTTTGCTATGCCTTTATTTTTAGTGATCGGCATAAAATAGACCCCAGAGAGGCCACAGGATGGCAGGTGTGGGAAATGGAAAATGTGTACACTGGTGCAGGAGGGAGTGTGCGTGTGATGTTTAAGTCTGAGGCACATTGTTGGAGCAGAGTAGAAAGAGCGTTGCTTTGCATGTCACTATCATATATTTCTGACTGTGGAATGCTTGATGCTCAAACGGGTTGCCTATAAATATGAAAGCATTCCACTTTTCAGCCCTAATCTCCTTCTCCTTGCTTGATAAGGAAAAATAAGGTTTCCTCTTGACTTTCATACTTGCTTCTAATATCCTTGGGGAGTAATTGTTAAATTCAGTCTTAACTTTAGTGAAGGTTTTCTTAAGAATTAACACTGATGTTGGTTAATTGTGAGACATTGCAACATTCAGGGTGCTCTGAATGTTATATCAATAGAGTAAATCTAGAACTAGGTGGAATTTGATAAAGCACCTTATCAAATTATCAAAGCACTTCACAGGATTTTATTGTAGTAATGACTTTTCACAGCGATGTCTTACAAACAGCCATGAAGTGAATGATCAAATTTTACCTTGAGGATTTTTGGCAAGGATGCTGGGAGAAAGACCTTTCTCTTTTCAAATAGTAACAAGGGAACTTTAATGTACATCAGAACAGGCAGACAGGACCTCGGTTTAATGTCTCATCTGAAGAATAACACTTGTCTCAACGCAGCTCTCTGATTCCCCCACCTCCCACTCCTCACCCCCCCGGAGTATCAGCATAGACTATATGGGTACCAAGTCCCAACTCGTGGCTTGCACCCACAACCTTGTGACTCAGAGGAGAGTGTTATCAACTGAGCCAAGCTGACATATTTATTGTTGGAAAGTAGCACAGTACATAAAGGAGTGTGGTCACTGTACTAGGAAATATTAGGCAGGCTAGATTTCCGAAAGGGAGTTTTTATAAACGCCATTCAAATGTTGCTATGTTGGTTACTGCAGTGTGTTTACGTTGCTGTGAAAACACACAGAATTTCCCCCCCCCAGAACATCATTTGGAATGCACCATGACAACAGAACAAGAGAACACAGGTTTAAGGATGCAAGGGCAATTTCAGGATAGACATCAGGAAGTATTTCTTTATCCAGAGGATAATTAATCAATGGTTATTAAGACAGATTATTAGGAAGGCTGGTTGAGGCCAGGACAAGAGATTCATCTAACAAAAAAGCTTGATGCAGTGATGGGAGGATATGAAGGGTGATATGAGAGGAAAATGGACTAAATAGCTTCTTGGTTGAACTTCTCGTATAATTCTCATGTCCTTACAACCAGTCTGGACTAGATCAATTAAACCACAATGTCGGGGTGGAACCTAACACTTTCCTGTGCAGGGCAGTAACCAACACTCAATGGGGTTACTTAAACTCATGTCAGGTTTTTTTTTCAGTTTTCAAACAAACCAAAAGCAACACTTCTATTTCAAAATAAATAAAGAGGCAAACATGACACGTGATATACTGATGTCTTTGCGGAACGGAAACTAAAAGAGGAAGAGACGAGGGAGAGAAAAAGCGTAAAAAGCTAATGCAAATGGGCCATAATCCTTCATTATTGGGTGTTTCAATGAGTGCGGTTGCTGATGGAGTTTTTTTGTAGCATTTTCTGAATGTAACAACAACAAATTACATTTGTGTCTTTAGTGTCTTTCACATCGGGAGGACAAGGATAAATAAACGGGCAGGAAGCCACAAGACAACACAGGAGAGAGTGTTACTGTCATGGCGGTTTGGAATAAAACAAATTATTGGGCCAATAAGCAATATACTTAAAGCAACACTCCACCAGATAACGCTGATAAAGTTAGTTTGGAGCTTTTTTTGTGAATGCAGGACAGAAAGCCACGGGTGCCCTGTTATCGGTGGTGGTGGTGGGGTGGGTGGTATGAAAAATAAACAAAATACATTTGACTGATGAGTTCACTCACACACACACCTCCCAGGAAAAATATGATACAGTCTGTTTATTTGTTTCAGGAGAGTTTGTAACTATTTTGTGAATACAGTGAAACGAGGAAAGGGGAACCGCAAAATAACACAGTGGTAAAATACAAATTAGTGTCTCGGTGGAGATGCAAAATAAAGCAAATTGATGGTTCCCCTTATACAGTCAATCTGTTAAAGTAACAACCTCTTCTCAGCAATTACCTGCTGTCAACTACAGTCCAGACTGATTTTAACATAATAAACCACCTCTATTCAGCAACTACCTGTCCATCGCAAACTGTGGCCACGTTTCTTTAGTCCTGTCACTAGACTGATACTCTTTTTAACAGCCAGATATGGTCCTCAGGCCAGTGTTGGTGTACGCTAGGAGTCTAGCCGGAGTCTACACATGGGCCCGAGGAAATGTTTGACTCAGTGACAATTTGTATTTTGTAATTGATTTTTTACTTTATTAAAATTAGTGTGATTTATGGGTTCATATGCACACTGTATTTTTCTAATTTTTCTTTACACTTAGAAATTCTACACACACTGACAAACCCTATATAAAGGCCACTTTGGTCCAGTCCCCTGAGTGGTTGCTGAAAACAGGTTTGACTGTACAACAACTCTTAAACAATCCCAGTGTTTTGTGAACGTCACAATGAATAAAATCGGGTTGGGAGCCACAATGTAACCTAGAGAGAGAGCAGGCCAGGGCTGAGCTGCAGGTTATTATCATAACAGGGGATGTAAAATTAAAACAAATCAATGGGTCAAAATGCAAAGCATTGTGATCTCTTCTCCCCCCCACAAAATAAATCTCTTTAAAGACATCTTATTGTGTGTGAATATAACCCAAAATGAAACCAGACTGAGAGCCACAGTGTAAACCAGTGTTGAGCTGAGCTGCATGTTGAGGTCACAGCGAGAATATGCAAACTGTTGTAAACCCCCCACCCCACCAAAAAAAGGAAACTATTTAAGAAGTTTTAGAGTTTTCTCCCTTGCCTGCTTCAAGGCCCACGGAGCTAGACTCCAAGCGATCTTAACAAACCCTAAACTGTCCAGCACCTTGGAATGTCCTTCCGACGTGAAAGGCGCGATATAAATGTAATTCTGTTGTTCTTGTTTTGTGGATAAATAAAGCAAATAAGAAACACAATGTAACCCAGAGAGCTACATAAAGCAAAATGCAAAGTATTGTAAACCCCCGCCAAAAAAAATTTAAGAAGTGTTTTGTTTCAGATTTCCAGCATCTGCAGTATTTTGCATTTTGTTTACGAAGTCTTGATGTTTTGTAAATATAACTTTAAATGAAGCTGAGAGCCCATTGTGACCTGAAGAGGAGCTGAACTACACGTTATTATCTGGGTGATGAAGAAGTCTTTTAAAGTTTTCCGAATTTACAATCAATCCAATTTACAATATATCCCATGAAGCGCTTTTGAGACATCTTGAGGCAGCTCCTCCGCTCTCCGGGTTGGGTTTGGGGGGAGGGAGCAGTAACACGGTTAAAATGAAGTAAATGTAGAAAACCCTCCCTGTAACCCCAGCCGCAGCAGCTCCAGCACTATATCAAATGCAAGGATTATTATTATTGTTATTATTATTAGAATATAACCTTAAATTAAACTAGACTGGGAGCTCAGTGTGTCCCTGGGGAGAGCTGAGCTGCAGGTTATTGCCAAAACAGAGTGGAAAGTATTGTACTCCTCAAAAGAATGATTTGAAGGAGTCTTTATTACGCAGCCAAAATGTGACCTGGACAGAGCTGTGACACAAAATAAAACTAAATGCAAAGTACAGGAGTGCAAACCCTCCCTCTCAGATTTCTTTTAATAAAAAGGAGCCTTAACATAGCATAGCCCCAGAGAGAGAGAGAGAGAAAGAGAGAGACAGAGAAGTGAGTTGCAGGTTATTGTCAGGGAGAAGGACAAAGTGAAGCAAAGCTTCCCAGAGGGGAGGAGAGAGGAGGGAGGGAGGGAGAGAGAGGAGGAGGAGGGAGAGAGGAGGGAGGGAGAGAGAGAAGAGGAGGAGGGAGAGAGGAAGGAGGGGAGAGAGAAGAGGAGAGAGAGAGGAGGGAGGGGGAGAGAGAGAGAGAGAGGAAGAGGGGAGAGAGAAGAGGGAGAGAGAGAGAGAGGAGGAGGGAGAGGGAGAGAGAAGGAGGAGAGAGAAGAGGGAGGGGGAGACAGAGAGAGGAGGGAGAGAGAGAAGAGGGAGAGAGAGAGAGAGGAGGAGGGAGGGGGAGAGAGAGAGGGAGGGGGAGAGAGAGAGGGAGAGAGAAGAGGGAGGGGGAGACAGAGAGAGGAGGGAGAGAGAGAAGAGGGAGAGAGAGAGAGAGGGAGGAGGAGGGAGAGAGGAAGGAGGGGGAGAGAGAGAGAGGGAGGAGGAGGGAGGGAGAGAGAGAGAGAGAGGGAGGGAGGGAGGGAGGAGGCTGCTGTGGCCACCAATGAGGGGAGATACTGATTGCAGAGCACTTCCCAGCTGGAGCTGTGAGCACAGCCCATCCCAGGCCAACACACCGAGCCCGGGTCACACACAGCCCCGAGCCCGGGTCAGACCCAGCGCCGAGCCCGGGTCAGACCCAGCCCCGAGCCCGGGTCAGACCCAGCGCCGAGCCCGGGTCAGACCCAGCGCCGAGCCCGGGTCAGACCCAGCGCCGAGCCCGGGTCAGACCCAGCGCCGAGCCCGGGTCAGACCCACTCCGGGTCCCACACAGCGCCGATAGGATGGAGCTGGAAAACATCGTCGCCAACACAGTGCTACTGAAAGCCAGAGAGGGTAAGGCGGGCAGCGGGGGGGCAACTCACACACAGGGCACACAGGGCAGCGGGGGGGCAACTCACACACAGGGCACACAGGGCAGCGGGGGGGCAACTCACACACAGGGCACACAGGGCAGGCGGGGGCAACTCACACACAGGGCACACAGGGCACACAGGGCAGCGGGGGGGCAACTCACACACAGGGCACACAGGGCAGCGGGGGGGCAACTCACACACAGGGCACACAGGGCACACAGGGCAGCGGGGGGGCAACTCACACACAGGGCACACAGGGAGCAACACTCCCTGTAACCCCGGCACCAGCCCCCACCTCCCCTCTCCCCCCACCCCTTCCTCTCCTCCCTCTCCCACTTCTACCCCCACTCCCCTCCCCTCTCCCCCCCCCCCGGCAGCCGGAGCCCGGGGCAGTGGTGTGGGTTGTGGAGGGCAGTGGTGCGGTGCAGTGCTGTTTGTGGGGCCTCACAGTGGAGGGGCACTGATACATGTGCACATACACACACAGTGTGTGACTGTAGGTACAATAGCACTTACAGGCTGTGGGGGGGCTGTGTGCGGGGGGGGGCTGTGTGGGGAGGGGGGGGGCTGTGTGCGGGGGGGGGGGGGCTGTGTGCGGGGTGGGGGGGCTGTGTGCGGGGGGGGGGCTGTGTGCGGGGTGGGGGGGGCTGTGCGGGGTGGGAGGGGCTGTGTGCGGGGGGGGGCTGTGCGCGGGGGGGGGGGGGGCTGTGCGCGGGGGGGGGGGGGGCTGTGCGCGGGGTGGGGGGGCTGTGTGCGGGGGGGGGGCTGTGTGCGGGGTGGGGGGGCTGTGTGCGGGGTGGGGGGGCTGTGTGCGGGGTGGGGGGGCTGTGTGCGGGGTGGGGCTGTGTGCGGGGTGGGGGGGGCTGTGTGCGGGGTGGGGGGGCTGAGTGCGGGGGGGGGCTGTGTGCGGGGGGGGCTGTGTGCGGGGGGTGGGGCTGTGTGCGGGGTGGGGGGCTGTGTGCGGGGTGGGGGGGGCTGTGTGCGGGGTGGGGGGGGCTGTGTGCGGGGTGGGGGGGCTGTGTGCGGGGGGGGGGGCTGAGTGCGGGGGGGGGCTGTGTGCGGGGGGGGGCTGTGTGCGGGGGGGGGGGCTGTGGCGGGGGGGCTGTGCGCACATGTGCGGGCTGTACGCGCATGTGCCGGGGGGGCTGTGCGTGCGTGTGTGTGGGGGGGCTTTGTGTGGGGGGGCTGTGTGTGGGGGGGCTGTGGGCGTGGGGGGGGGCTGTGCGGGGGGCGTGGGGCTGTGCGCGGGGGGGCTGTGTGCGGGGGGGCTGTGTGCGGGCTGTGCGCGCGTGTGCGGGCTGTGCGCGCATGTGCAGGGGGGGCTGTGCGTGCGTGTGCGGGGGGCTGTGCGGGTGCGTGGGGGCGCTGTGTGTGTGTGGGGGGGGGGGGCTATAACCAAGGTCGTGCTGATTTTCCTCTCTCTGTATCTGAGCTCTCAGGGGAAGCCATGTGGTTCCAGCTCAGTCGTACCCCCCTCCCTCACTCTCCCCCCTCCCCCTTTTAGCGGGTGCTCTCCCTTCTCTTTGGCCGAGTGCCCCCCCCCCTTGGCGAGTGCCCCCCCCCCTTGGCCGAGTGCCCCCACCCCTTGGCCGAGTGCCCCCACCCCTTGGCCGAGTGCCCCCACCCCTTGGCCGAGTGCCCCCACCCCTTGGCCGAGTGCCCCCACCCCTTGGCCGAGTGCTTACCCAGAAACACAAACCTCTCCCATTAGCAGAGCAAGTGATTCCGATGTAGTGGGCCACAATTTCTGCCCGATCAATAAGTTCGCCGTCCCTGATTCTCCTGAGACGTGTCAGAGTCCACACGTACGATGCGTGTGTTTAAATATTTAATAACTATTATACTTGGAGTATAGTGAGTGCTGTGGTGACTCATTGATTTACACTGAAACAGTCATCCTAGTGTTAACTTTATTAGGACCTTTAATACAGCTCTGTATTTTGGGGAATCCCACAGGTTGGCTTACGTGACTGATTTTGCATATGTATCTATAATGTGAATAAGATCAGCTACACAGTCACTACTATTATTGCAATAATTTGCCAGATGATGCTGGTTTGGGGTATTAGCCGAGCGAACAGTTGTTCTTGCAGAATATGTGGGGACGTTGATTGAAGCTGCGCTTTGCTGAAATAATCTGTTTCTTTGTAGGAGTTGCGTAATCGAATATGACACGGTGGAAAGTTAGGAGAGGGTGGTTGGTGTTGTGTTTCATAGTGAAAGCACTCCTCCAACTGTAACTTCTCGCTTTTATACAGAGAGGCCAAAGATTGCCTATCCATCAAATACCATAAATCTGCAACGTGTGAACCCTATAACCCATGAACCAAGTGGTGTTGCATTTATGTTGACCTGTTGCTCAGCATTGTGAAGGCAAAGTCTCTTTGTGCATTTTGTACTGATCGCTGTGTAGCTCACAAACAATAATTATCAGAATAATTTGTTCACTCAATCCACGATTGTTTGTGAGAAACTGTTTACCCGTGTCCTCTCCCGAACCAAACTCCGTGACCCCATCTCCCCCACTCTCGCCCGACTATTGGCTCCCTGTCCTTCAGAGGATCCAGTTCAAGATCCTGGTCCTCACCTACAAAGCTCTCCATGGCCTCGCCCCACCCTACCTCTGTGACCTCCTAACTCCCTACCAACTCGCCCGTTCCCTCCGCTCAGCCGACTCTGACCTGCTCCATGTCCCCCGACACCACGTGCCCTCCATTGGCGGAGAGCCTTCAGCCACTCTGCCCCCAACCTCTGGAATTCCATCCCCCAGTCACTCCGCCTCACCCCCTCCTTAGCCTCCTTCAAGTCCCACCTCAAGACCCTCCTCTTCGACCATGCCATCGGCCACTCCCCTTTGCCTTCCCTCCCTTTCCCCCCCAACCCCAGCTTGGGTCTGAAATGCTATAGTCTGTCCAGTGCCTGGACATCCTCCCGACATGAAAGGCGCTATACAAATGTAATCTTGTTGCGCAATTGGCTGCTGCGTTTTGCTCACAAAATACAGTCAATTTACAGTATATTCTGTGAAGCGGTTTGAGGTGTCTCACCAACGTGATAAGGCACCTTATTAAATGCAAGGGTTATTATTATAATGAGTTCCTGGTATTATAAGAAAATAGAATTATCATTTGGTCACTCAATCCATAACTTTGTGAGACATTGCTGTGAACAATTGGCTGCCACATTTTGCCTACAAAATAGTCAATTCATTTTGCAGTATATTCTGTGAAGCACTTTGAGACATCTTGACACGTGATAAATGCAAGGATTATTATTATAAGGAGTTCCTGGTGTCTGATTTGCACCTAGCAATGGCTCAAACCTGGGCATGTCAGATGTCTAATAACCAACTAGTGACTATTCTCTGGGGAAAGGGGGAAGGTAAGCTAAACAGGATCTCTTTGGGCGCTGTGTCGGCTTTCAAAACTAGTTAGGTATCTAAAAAAGAAGAAATTACAGAGGTTCAGGGAAGGCCAGGTAAGTGGAACAGGAAGGATTGCTCTTTAAAAGAACCAGCACAGACACGGCAGGCCGGATGGCCTTCTTCTTTGCTGTAAATGTCTATGGTTCAATAGCTCCAAAGTGACGTGCTTGACAATGGAATAGTGCAATTGAGTCAGTCTTCTGTGGTGGTCTCGGTAGTCTTAATTCCTGAACCAAACAGATCCCCTGTACTTTTAAGGCACTTTTGATGATGGGCCAGCCCGCCAGGCTTATCAGCAGAACCTGGCAGAGCAGACCAGTCTCTGGGAGCTCGGATTCATTTTTTTCAGTTCCTGTTAACCCTAGGGTGAACACACACTGGGCACTCACTCCACGACTGTTTGTGGGACACTGCTGCGCGCAAACTGGCTGCCGCGTTTTGCTCACAAAATATAAAGTCAATCCATTTTACACTATATCCCGTGAAGCTCCTTGAGACGTCCTCCCAACGTGAAAGACACTTATACAAATGTAATTTTGCTGTTGTTGGATATCAAATGCAAGTATTATTCAAAAACAACTTGTATTTATATAGCGCCCTCCATGCTGGACGGCATCTCAGAGCGCTTCACAGTAACGAATCCTGGGGCCGAGCCAGGGGGAGGGGAGGAAGGTGACCAAAGGCACGGTCGAAAAGATGGGCGATGCGTCGGAGGTGGAAGAAGGTGGTGCTGGTGAGGGACCGGATGTGGGGGAGGAAGGACAATTGGGGGTCGAACCTGACGCCAAGGTTGCATATGGGATTCTTATTATTAGAGTGTTAGGTGGTCCTAGCTGGACAAGCATCTGGAATCATGCCAGTGTTTGCAATGACAGGCTATGTGGCTTTAACTTGTAAACATGAGCATTACCCCAACAGACACTGTGGTCCCCAAGCCATTGCTCTTCCCAATCTGTGCCTAAATCCTCTGGAATTAAATATGGTTCAGGGCAGCGCTCCGGGGAGAGAGAGTTGAACGCTTCACAGCAGACAAATGGAAATTTACTTTCAGTACATATGCGGAACTCTTCCTTTTGTACGTTGAGTGGGTTTCCGCATGTCAGTAATGCCGAAGACCAAAATAAAAAATTGCAGAAACCATTTCCTGAAGTGGTTGTGCAATACTGCCTGGCCTTCCCTGTGCTCTTTGTTGCGGGGTGGTTTCTACAGCAGCTGGATTCACTTTAGTACAACTCTTGGCATGCCCCCAGCTGCTTAACTGACTTGACTGATGGCCCCTTGACACCCATCTCCCCTCCCTCCCTAAAGTAGACTGGATTCCAACTGTGTTAGAATGGACAGGCTGGTGTCTGACACATGCGGAAACCCATCACCGTACTTAAGAGTATCCAAACCAAGCTAAGCATTTCGTGCATCCCAAATATACATGGAAATTCCAGGTTCATGTCTGCCTGTTATTCAGGGAGTGGACCACAGACACCTAGTTTGATGATGCCCGCTGCTTACGGCCCAGCCCTGCCTAGTTTTTTTTAAAATCTGGTAAAAAATAATCTGTA